TAAAAAATATTCAGGGCAGGTATACATTTGACATACTAATTTTTATTCATATCTTGGAACTGCATGATACAAAGTGTATTCACACTTATGAAACACCACAATCTTTTATATCTGAAATTTATATCATTTATTGTCCTTTTCTAAATTTCACTGGTCTTGAGTTTTAAATTCCTAGAGCTAAAAAAAAAAAAAAAAAAGCAAAAAACTATTCTAAGTCTTTCCTGGGGAAATCCCTTTTAATTCTAATTATTAAAGCATCCAAAATAATCTACAATTAAAAAAGAAACAAAAAGACTGTCTCCTGTTAAGATTTCAATTTCATATCAAATAAAGCTTATTTCCTGCTTATCTGAAACTGCTCAACTTTTCTTGCAGTTTTTTTAATAATGAAAAAAAGAAAGAGTGAGTGCTTCTGTCCTTTTCTATCCTTTATTGAAAAGAATATTAAAACAAATAACTGTGAACATTCAGAGTTATATTTACCACATTACCAGTTTCCCAGTTCAAGTCCAATAGAGTGAAAGCTTAAGCCACATGAATAGAGGGAGTCACAACTACACTATACCAACAATGAAAACAGCTCTTCCCATAAGGAACCTGAGGTAATCTTGCAAAACCATTAGCTACTTGACCCTCTCCTTACACCCCCGCCCAAAAAAAGAAATCCAAAAAATCATGCCAATCAAGAGGTTTAAATTTGGGGGTCCATTTTAAGACCACCCCAAAATTGTGTTAGGCCAAGGGTATGTATGTCCAAAACACCATCACTATCACTTTGTCACAATAGGGTATGCCATTTCAACTTTACAATGGCAGAGTTAGAGGTGACTACATCAAACAGAGAGGTTGAACAAAAAAGAGGGCTGAGTTTTTGTTGCCATGCTTAAAAATGCAGAGAATGCTGCTGACCTTAAGGGTGTAGATATGGATTCTCTGGTCATACAAGTGAACAAAGTCCCCAGATGCACTGCTATACTTACAGAGCTCATGACCTGATTAACCCTGGCACCTGGAACAGGATCCTCACTGAAGAAGAACTATTCCTGGGCTACAAGAGGAAGTTACCTATGAAAAAGGTACACAGAAAATACTAAAGAAATAAATATTTATGGATCGGGATAAATTAAGCTTAAAATAAAAGCTAAAGAAAGTAAAAGGAAAAAAATCAACATAAGTTCAAAAGCCAAAAAATGGAGGTCTCTTTATTTTCTTAGCAGGACAGGCTACAAATAACTATTTACACATAAATACAGGATATACAACATTTCACTGCATAGAATTTAAATGCTAAAGAAGCCTTAGAAATCCTCTTTTTGGATTGGTTGAAATTGATGTTTAAAGGTTTAGCTGACGAAGAGAAATTAGGAGCTCATCGAGCTAACCAAGATCTCTAGATGACATTTAACTTAAGGTTCAGATAAGAAAATCATCAAGCCTACCTGTGACCAATAAGGGCCAAGCATAATGGAATAAAATACAAAAGAGAAAAATTGAAGCAAATGCTTAATGTAAAACAAAAAACACCACATAACCCACACCTCCTCTATAGTCAGTCTCCTGGCATAGGAACGAAAAAAATCCTTGTATGTCACATCTGATTTAGTAGGTAACCCTCTTAACCCTTTCTAATGTAATTTCCCATTATTATTGTACGTGGCTCTTAAGGCTCTTCAATTTGTTTCCTCAATAATACACACATTTCAAGTTCTTCATTATGCTACAGTCTACAAGAAATTGTGTCATCACCTTTTATCTGTTTCCAAAGTATATCTAGTTTATTACAGTATATACCCAGAGTTGTAATCAATGCTTAATGGGATAATATACAACCTAAAATCATCTGATTTCCTCTATCAGGTAAATAATGTACATAGCCTTCCACTTAGCTTAGACTTGAAGAACAGAACCACAAACCATCTGTCGGAATTTCCTTCCAAGTAGACCTTCTAATGAAAATAAGATCTAGTATAAGAAAACTGATAATAGTAGGCAACGAGACTATAAAAGAGAAGGCAAGATGGTTTCCTTTATTTTTTAACACTTTTATTGGGCCATAATCCACATATCGTACAATTCGTCAATCGTATTAAGAAAAGTTGTACGATCAGTACAACAATCAATTTTTGAACATTTTCTTTCTGGTACTCTTTATTATCTCCACATAGTTCCCAGCCTCCCTTGTCATCTCCCCCAAGAAACTCTTCCCTGTCACACCCCCAAGAAACCATTAATCCAGTTACTGTCTCTACAGACTCACCCATTTGGAGTTCAGATACTAAGAAACATACAAAACAAAAAATAAAGAACAAAAAAGCAAACAACAATAACATAAAAGAGAAAACCCTCATAAGAAAAATGCAAAAATATTAAAAACTAGAACAACTTTAAAATGGGTCAAAAGGAGGAATCAAAGATGTTACATTTCAACCTAACTATACCTACTATAAGGAGCCCTGACTGATAACATCGTGGTTACATTGGGCAGTTAACCACAAGGTCAGTCATGTGAAACCACTAGCCACTCTGCGGAGACAGAGCTTTCTACCCCCGTGCCACAGTCTCACAAACTGGCACGGGAGTTCCACCCTGTCTTTTAGGGTCGCTATGAGTCGGAATCAACTCTACGGCAGGGAGCAGTATATCTACTACCATCATCTCTACAATATTCTGTCTGATAACAAGGCTAGTCATATCCCTCAACTATGGTCAGAGTGGATTCACTGGAAGCATAATCTATGTGCGGACCCTTCATATGGATTTTGGGCCTCCACTGTCATTCACAGCCTTCTGGAAACCAGAGGTTCAGAATTGCAAGTCTGACACCATTCCCTTCTTCAGATTTGGATTTTATTATTTACAATCCGTGGATCACACAGGCTGGTGTGTGTCTTCCATGTGGACTTAATTGATGCCTCATGACAAGATGGTTTTCTTGTACATTAAACAATTTTTTCTATTTTCCTCTTTATATTTAATTCTATTAAACCTTTGGTCAGGAATGCTTGATTATTTTCCTATCTATAAAAAAATCAATCCCACCACCACTGAGTTGGTTCTAATTCATAGCAAGCCTATAGGCCAGAACAGAATTGCTCGTTAGGGTTTCCAAGACAATAAATCTTTTCTTACATTATGTACATGCCTATATTTATACCTCTATAAGTGTCTTTTGACTCCTAGTTCTTTCCTCTATTTTACTTTCCTCCTGCCCCACTATCATGTTCAACCTTCATTCGGCTCTCAGTAATTTCCCTTGGCCACACTGCACTTGATCAAACCCCACCAGGCACTCTACGTCCTCCTCACCATCGATTTTAGATCTCTTGTTGTTCTCTTGTCCCTGGGTTTGTTGACTCCCCGTCCCTTTCTCCCATCTCCTCTCCCATGTGCCCCCGGAGCCATCAGCCCTGTTATTTTCTCCTTGTAATTATTTATCCTGCCTTTCTTATATGGATAGACATGAGAAAAAATAACAACAACAAAAAGCCTATAAACAGTTCCAGGTCTGACCCTTAGGAATGTTTTCCCATTGTGTCTGGTAAAGTGCCAATCCCTGCCCACTGAATCCTAGGTCTATTTGGGGGATTCCTCGGGGACTTTGTTGCTTTGCTCCCCTTGCTGCTGTTGGATCCCTTCGTGTTTCACTCCGGTGTGGGGGTCAGACTGGGTACACTTCCGGCACTGTGTCTCCAGTCCTGTCCTCCATAGCGCTGTGGGTCAGTGAAGGTGCATCGTGTCTCGTAGGAGGGCCAGTACTACGGTCCTCTCTGTGCATTGGCTGCTGTCAGCCGGAATGTCATCCTAGAAGCTTGGTGGGCCTGGGTGCAGCTGGCTATAAATCTTACAGGGAGCACATAGCCTCATCTTTCTCTAGCAGCTGCAGGGTTACTCATTATGCCACTATGACTCCTTTTATGATCGTAATTGAAGTTCAGTGTCCTCCAGAGGTTCTTATTATCCCTTTTGATTAGTCATCTCTGAGTTTCAATTATGCTACCATCTCCATTTTTCAGATACAGAAGCGGAGACTCAAAGGTGGGGTTCAGTATTTTCTCCAATGATATGGCTTCAAGTGGCAGAGCCACGATATAACCAAACCTGCCTGACCCTTTGATCAATGAAGAAAAGAGACTAAAAACTCTTCACAACTCTGTAAGACAGGATTCTTATACTGCATCAGAAAAAATTTGCTTTGATATGAAGAGGGGAAAATTTAAAATTTCAACTAGAAATTTATGAAATCCATATATGTATGACAGAAAAACAATAATAATAAGCTACAATGTTTCCCGTGGTCTAAATATTCACCTGCCTGTTAAATATGACTAGGAGAAGCCCCCTATAAACTAAATAGCTCTGTTATAATTATGCCTTTATGCTACAAAGTTGTCTATTGGTCTCTACTTATAGGATTTATGCCTATAATGAAATAAACTACTTAAATGAAATTATTTTGATGTAAATCAGTAAAACTGCATAGGCAAAGAACCAAAACAAACAAAAAAGGCTCACTGCCATCAAAGCATCCCTCTAGGACAAGGTAGAACTGCCCCTGTGGGTGTCTGAGACTGTCACTCGTTATGGGAGTGGAAAGTCCCTTCAGAGTGGTTGATGATCTCAAACTACTAACTTTATGGTTAGCAGCCCAATGCATAGGGACTATGCCACCAAAAATCAAGTACATATATGTCTTCACAATCTAAATTAACGTCAGTGTATAGTTGAGATTAGGGGAAAAACAGGTCTCATTTTTTTCCTCTCACCAAAACGTTAATAAAAATGATTGCTAAAATCTCAAAGACCAAATTGTTCCTTCTAATGAGCAGGAAAGCTGAAAAACCAGAGACTAAATGTGGTCACTCACTCACTGCCATCTAGTCCACTCTGACTCATTGGGGACCCAACTGCGCAGGGCAGAACCGCCCTGGGCATCTTTAGGGGAGGAGAAACCCTGGTCTTCCTCCCACCCTCAGAAAAGACAAAACCACACAAAGACATACCTGTGCCGCCTCATCAGGTTGAGATCTTCTATAAAGACTAGAAATACTTTCTGCCCGCATGAGATACTCCGCCGTCCTTCTCTTCACAGCTTCTCGACGGGTAGGGCTTGACTCTCCTAACAAGAGAAAACAAGTCAAGACAGTTGGGAAATAACTGCTTTTTTATTTTAAGTTTTACTGATAGATGATACAATTCAATGGTTTAAACCTATTAAATGGAATTGTACTACCATCACCACAATCAATTTTAGGACATTTTCTTCTTTCTTGTATTCATTATTATTAGCGCCCCATTCCTCCCTAATCTCCCCTGCCATAATCCTAATAAACTACTAATCCAGTTACTGTCTCTACAGATTTACAGTAACTACTTTTATCCAACCTGAAGAATAAGTTCACTTTACCTAAATCACAGCTTGTTCACATTTCAAGCAGAAAGATATGCAAAGCTGGAGCAGACATCAAACTGATTAACGCCAGTGAAGTTGAAATATTACCCATGAATTTCATTTACCCAAATTCTGATACTCTCCTATTAAGTATTATTAAGAACTTGATATATTTTATAAAACGAAGTCAATATAGAAGAAATGTCACCTCAAAAGCTCCGAACAGAAGCCAACAAGACGAGCCCTGGTTCATACAACGTAAAAACTGTGCGTTTCAGCCTTCTGATTCAACAGATACGGTTCACTGCCACAGACGCTTACTAAGAACGCTGTGGACTATGTAAAAGTACTACCAAACTGGAATGTAACTATCAAAATGATATTATTTAGGGTGAGCTTGAACTCATTCTAATTTATTTTTATAAACACACCTATTTCTGCTTGTTTTCGCTTGAAAACGAGTGCAACTGAAATCCATATACTATAAATTAAAGTAAAATAAATCATTTACCCTATCCAGGCTTCCGTTTCTTCCATTGCTAAACAAAGTGACTTAAAAAGAACTCCTCAAGGCCCTAAGGATGTGAAGGCTAAACACAGGGATACTGGGTCTTCTCTCCAGAGAGAAAGGATGCTCTGCTTGGATCCCTCGTCTATGTCTGACGATCATACAAAATTGCATTTGAAGAAAGAGTTCCACAGCTGAAAACCAAGAAACTTCAAAAATCACTAAACTCTATGTATAAAGCTCCTTTCCTAAATAATATTGCCTACTACCCAGGACTCCTTTTTTTAGGAAAGTACTTTAATACACAGTTGTTTTAATTTATTCTATGAACTTCTGCATAGTTAGCCAAAAAGTAAGCATTCTCCAGTGGAAAGTGTCCTGGATTACAATTCAGAAACCCTAATTCTCTGAATCCTAGCTCTGCCTCTGACTAGTCACGTGATCTATGATAAGTCATCTCAACCGTATGAAACTCTTCATTTCCTATAATGGTGGGTACAGCTCAAATTATTGTAGAGATTAAAGGAAACAGCACACATGCACAGTACTACCACGAAAGCATCCAGTCTTATAAGAAACACTAAACTGTAAGATTTCAAATTTAGTTCTGGTTTGAAAAATTGGTTTCATTCTCAAAACCAACTCTTACAAAATAATATTTTATGAATTGAAAAGTATTATTAAAGTAGATGTTTTCCCCTGGAAGCCTACTCGTAGAAACACCTATATTTCTGCTGGTACAGTATATTTTCCCTGCTTCTTTCAAGAACTGTCCCTTTCTCCTCCAGTTCAAGCCTTTCCATCTCACCCCACTCACACTAGGAACAATAGTCCTCACCATGTCTTCCAATGAAAGCGACTATCTTGTTACTGAGCGTAGTTCCTCTAGCCACCACCACCCATCAGCCCCGTCATAAACTGAGTCCATAACAGAACCCCACCCTCATGGCCACAGCTAAAGAAAGGAGGAAGTGGCCCAACACATGCTGGGCTAATCGGTCCTGTTACTGAAGCGGGAAATAAGAGGATCGGTAATAGCCAGCAGCCATAGCTTCTGCCAAGATGGAAAAAGGCCATCTGAACGATGACAGAGAGAAGCAGATATGGGAGACAAGTAAGAAGTCCTAGTGTTACTAATGCCATTGATTTCGACTGAACCTACATTCCTGCTCTTCGTTGTCCACCCAAACCCAAACCCATTACCACTGAATCAACTCAGACTCACAGCTACCCTGGACTGCAGAGTCAAAATGGTCCACAGCACTGCCGACACTGTCCATCTTTAAAGGGGCAAAGAACAAGCGGCCATCTAGCTCAGAAGCAACAAAGCCCACATGGAACAACATATCAGCCTGTGTGATCATGAGGTGTCGAACGGATCACTGAAGACAAATGG